CCTTACTGTCAGACCCTGTTCTCCTTGAGCACATAGAAGTAAGGAGCAAATTTGAAAAAAACTGGCCTTGAAATAGACATACCTGTAGCAAATTGCATATAATTCCCATAAACTTAGTTCATCCAGTTGATGCATATTACTTCTTTTGGAAAATGCTACATGTTTTAGCACAAGATACTCCATAAACACACTTTCAAGTAGCACTTTGGTACCTACTTATACATAGTTCAAACTATGCATGATGTTAATCTAAAGCCCAAGACTCATGTTTTACCATAAAGTTCATTAGGCTGGGCCCCAGCAGCATCAATGGCATTTCCAGCTATGGTGACCCCAGACCTCAGCACTGGTAAGTATGCGTGTGTGTCTGTGTACTCCAGATACCCCTACAACAGATCCACATGCTAATTAGCCCACCACTCATGACTGGAACTGGGTGTTCTTGTCATAAGTCCTGGGATCTGCCAAAAATGTATATGCAGATGAGGCATAGGGCAGCTTGGTTCAGCTTCACTTCATGGAGGGCAGTGCAGGGGCCATACTAATTGTGTGACAGGCTGAGGGCGTGACATCCGGATTTTGTGTGAACTGGGGCCCCATTTGGTGATATTTGCCAGACATTTAAGGTTGGTGAAGAAACAGGAATTATTGGAAATAGAGAAAGTTGCAGCTGAGCTGTGGGAATGAAGAAGTTGGAATGTATGCACTGTAGTGGCTCACAGTGACTTGAAAAAGCATTTGTGCTGAGGGGGACTGTGGTTAATGGCACTTATTCTGTTAAGCTGCACTAACCTATCCTTATAGTAGGGTCCCATCAGTCATAAACAGACCCTTGAACCCTACAGTGGAGGACTGCATTAAGATGGGTCTTAGTGAAATGTACTAGTACTACAGAAAGAAGAGGGCGATGAGAAAGAAATGGTGGATCTCATATGGTGGAGAGGGAACTGGCACAGGCTTTTTAAGAGGCAAACCCTCTGAAAGAACAATGAATGATAACCCTGAAATGGTGATGGGTGCACAGTGCAAACTGTGTAACGGGACTACAATATTTTAACTCTCAAAGTATGTTCTGATATGCCAAGTGAGCCACACTGGTCACTTGACAGGTTGTTAAAGGTACAGTTGTGTGTGTATATATAAAATATAAATATTTTTGCAAAAAAATTAAAAAAGCATCTTAAACAGCAATTTTGGCACCAAGTAGAGGGTGTCAGGGCTGGCTCTGGCCTTCCTGGTGCTGACCAATCTGGTATTATAATATCTCCAAGCCCCGTGCTGATTCCCAGTGAAGGGAACACCTGTCTGTTCATTTTTGTTTTTTTAAGGTGTGCGTGACCATGCCCCATTTTCTGTGTGTGTGTACACATGCATGTGCACACACACATACTTTCCCATCAGCATGTTTGCCCAATATGTGGGGTACCTCATCTTGTATTTGAGTAAATACGGTACTTTGAAGGGGAGAGAGAGCTGCTGCTGCTGATGTTATGATCTAAGAGTTACAACTGAAGGATCCTATAGTGATACAAGATAGCTAACTCATCTTAAGTGACCCTGAATGAAGCAGGGTTAAAGGTGGAGTAGTGTTGCTATACTACAGAATCATGCAGACTTAATAGTTGCATCATAAAAAATTGTATCTGAATCCTTTGATATCAGTACAATTGTTATACACCCTTAGTTTTCTCCTATGACTTGCTACTTCAATCTATTATGGAACCTAAAAATTGAAAGTAAGACTTTCTAAGGAGAGAGAGAATTATTGGATGTCTTCCAGGAAATATTTAGAAGAAAATGCAAGGCACTGAAGAGCAGAAGTCAAAGCAAACATGTCAGAGGACAGTTTTTTTAAAATGTTTTTTGGAGAAGCATGAAAGCACTTTCCTTGTATGTATGGAACAGCATTAATTTTGCAGGTCTTAGAATAGAAATGTTCCCCATCATTCCACTATCGTTATCTAGTATAGGTTGTGATTCAAAGCAGTTTCTTTGCAGATTTATTAATCCTGTGTAGTGAATCGCAATCTGTCCATTTGCTGTAATGAACTAGTAATTTGTTCTGCCTCCAGGAGAATCACTGATTTGTGCAAACAGTGACTCGCCACTATTTGGAAAACATGGTAGATGTTTTCTGCATGTTGTTGACCAAAACACAGTTCACCACTGCTGTTGATGGTCAATCTGTGGCAACCACTTCACTGGAGTGTGGAGTTAGATGTTAAGAGCATTGCCCAGAGAGGATCTCAAAGCCAGACTCCTACTTTGACTACAATCATAACCTAAGATCTCTTAAAAATTACTCTTCATGCATTCTGCTTTTGTCTTGAATTGGTAGCATTGCACCCTCATCTATTTAATTAATAAAGCACTAAGCAAATTTCCCCATCAAATATAATCTACAAAAGAATATATTTTTCAAGCCTTAGTTAATTTCAGTCAATCTTGGAAAATGTAGCTATACAACATATAAATGTGACAACTCCAACACGCACACACAATATGAGCTGTTGAGATTCACTGTTATATTTACCAACATTTCCATATCCCTGTCAGCCAGTTCTGCACAACTGTTGTCTTCATCATTGTCAGCAGCACCAACATAGCTTTCATTTCCTTTCCCCCACTCTGCCCATTTGCAATTATTGTTCCTCAGTTTTATTCTTAGCAGCAGGAGAAAGCACACCTACTACAAAAATGCTTTTGGAATTAAAGAGTGATTTTTCACCTTCTTATTGGCAGAAGGGAACACGATTTGCTGTCTTACTAGCTGGGATTATATTAGTCTTGCCATGGTGCAATTAATTTATCTAGAGCTAGTTATACATGTTTGTATTTAGCATGTTGATTCCAACCATCAAATAATTAAAATAATTCTGTGTGAATATTAAGGGCCATCTTTTTTTAAATGTATTCTCCATTTGTGCACCCAGAACTTGCAGCCATTTTACAAGGTGGCTGCACAGGTTATTTTTTGGTATTGTCAGTTTTCATGTGTAAAAGGGAAGGGGACAGGTTGAGAAGTCTTTGAAAAACTGACTAAAATTTTCTACAATTTCTGAACTAAACATGCAATAATGGTCCTGCAGTAGGTGGTGGGAACAAGAAATATTTACATTGCAGCCATGCCCCTTGAAGCCCCATTGCTCTAGATGCTGCACAAACACAGTTAAAGGCAACCCTGACCCACCAGTGTTTACACTCTAAATAGACAAGATGGCCAAAGCATGCAGGAAAGCAAGCATTATAATCCTATTTTAAAGATGGGGAACAAAGGTACAGAGAATAGTTGTGTTAAGTACACGCAAAGTCTATGGCAAACTTAGAAACTGAATCCAGACCTCCCTAGTCTCAGGTCAAGGACAAAACCAATTGCCCAATAATTTGTTTCCTAAATCTAAATTACAATCATCTATTGAAAAAAATACTTTGATAATCCAAATATACTTTTCTAATCTAAATAATCTGGTTCTTAAAACAGAGCTATATAACCAACGAGCAGAGGAGATGGATCTTTTTTCATCAATTCATTTGTTTTCTGAGTCAAAGAAATCTTACGTTTTATTTTACAGTTTGTAATGGGGGCTTACCTTTTCAACTATTCATGCTTGCACATGGAAATCTATGTGAATCCCTGAAAGGGGGGAAAAAAAAAAGCGAGGTGAGAGAGAGAAAAACAATAAACACCTGAGTAAGCTTCCTGTCCCCAATCAAGAACTGTACAGTGAAACTGGAATCTTTCCTTAAACTCTTGGGAACAAACCACTTGCATCACTGCAGGTGCCATTGTGATGTTCAAAACTGACACTGTAGCAAAAGTAAATTCCTCTGCTGGGTGGTTTTGTACAGTCAGAGCAATCCTACCAATATTACCCCAAAAAGATATGATGGATCCATGATCCAATTAATGATATAAAAGAAACACAAATGAAGGGTTGATTTCACATGTATAACACGGTGGGGTTTGGGTAGGGGAAAGAATCTGATGCATCACTAAATTATTGGAAACTAGTGATGACCCCAACTAAAGCCATGGACTAAAAGCACTGTTGAGTTTCAATAGGTTATAAATTAGAATTTGACCCTTGCTGTTTTTCTCCATCAACCTCAGGACAGCACCTCAATCTTGAGTTGTATAAATTTTAGTCACTGCTAATTCTGGCACAGTGCTTCTGCCAAGAATGGATTTAAAGGAGAAATTCAAGGAGGGAAAGGACAAGGAGGACTTTTTTGCACAAAAGAGGGGATTTGGGGCAAAAACAATTGTTCAGGAGTGAGCCAAAGTTATAGGAAAGGGATTTGAATGGTTTTGATGTGGTTTTACAGATGCAGGCCCACATACGTGTTCATTCCCTCCTGATTTGATTTTTCTGCACTTTAAAAATGAAGATAGAGGATCTTAGCTTGTACCGTTAATGTGGCATTTCTGTTGGCTACAACCAACCTCGTCACTAAAGGTTCAAAGATGACTGGGGGCACGAGGAGAGGACATGAGGGGAATAGCTGAGTTTGACCACTTTGTGAGTCAGAGGTGAAAATGCCCATTGAATGAGAAATTGGGGGGTGGAGGGTGGGAGGAAGCAGTGCAACTTATTCACTATCTCTAGTCATGATCTCATCTGTGTTGTTTTCAGTCAGTTTTTAAATCCAAGCAAAGCCTCACTGCATTCTTACTATATGAATGCACCCCAGGCATATTCATCCAACCAGTAGTAATATAGGAATTAATAAGCACTTGGCAATTAGATTGACTTGTGGCTTTAATGTGAGAAGTGACTCCAAAAATGACTTTGATCTCTATATATGTAGCAGTCAGAAAACCCATCTCTGTCTGCCAGTTAAGAAAATTTAAATAGGGTGAGGACATGAATGAGATATGACTTTGGTGAGAGACCAGAGTCATATCTCATTCATGTCCTCACTCTAGTAAAATTTTCTTAACTGGCAGACAGAGATGGGTTTTCTAACTGTTGGCTTCAAACTCAAACCTTGGTAGTGAGGACAAATTATTTTTTTTATTACTTACCACCTCCAGCAATGAAGAGTCTGCAGATCAAATTAGGCCCTCAGTGGGCACGTCTACATGTGCGCTTTAATGTGCATTAGCCTATTTTAATGTATATTGCAGTGTCACATCAAACTGTGCTTTGCTAATGTGCTTTTTCCTAGTAGATTACAATTGAGGCGGTGCTTATACATGTGCAGGGAGGCTGTAATTACAGTGTGTTGGAGCAGACTCGATTAATCAAGTCTGCTGGAGCATGGTAATTACTATGCTTCAGCAGACTCCAGTATCACATGTATTGGTGTCCCCACACTGAAAAATGGTGGCAAGGCACTTTAGTTTAAAGTTTGTTCGATTGAGTTTGAGTTCAAAGTGCTGCACTGCCATTTTTCAGCATGGGGACGCTGATACATGTGACGCTGCAGGCACTTTAACTAGCGCGACTCTCACAGCTGTGCCAACTAAAGCCACTGCCCAGAGCGCACATACAAACACCCAGAGGTACTAATTTAATAAGCACTAGCAAAAGTGTGATGTAATGAATGTGTAGACATGCTCAGTTTGTTCTTTGCAGCCCTGCCCTCCTCAGGTTTTCATCAGTGACATCCCTACAAACCTATAGCCTTCAGCATGTTGGGATAGGTGCTCCTGGGGGAATGATTTGAAGATGGTGGTCTTACATAGGGATTGATAAAGACATAATTTGGCCATGAGAACCTTTACTGTTGTTAATGTGTTAAATGGAAGGAATCCAGCTTTACTGTCAGAGCTAAGAGTTTGCAGGGCTGCCATTTTGGGGGGGGAATGAAAAAAACACATTTTTTCATTACAAACAGAGTACAGGGAAATAAGTTAAACACTGGGAATATAGAAGCCCACAAAGACACTTTTGCAGTCAATCTTCAGCAGGGAACCAGACTCAAACACTCCTAAGCCTGCAAACAGACTCAAACACTCCTAAGCCAGTCCCATTTTTGGCAAATTTTCTGTTACTGGGAGTGACTAAGTGAGAGGTTTTGCTCTTTATGTGCAGCAAATCTGATTCATGCTCATCTGTCATCTTTCGGGAAGGAAACGGAATGAGCTTGTTTGTTTGTTTCCTCCTTCTGGCATAGTCTCAACTCAGAAATTTCTCATCGGTCTGAAAAAGAGCCTACACAAAACCCCTTCCAAATATTTGTATTTGTTGTCTCTGCCCATAGCTGACAGCTGCCTGTTCCCCAGTAAAAGATGATGAACTCCCAGTCCTTTTTTCAGCTGGAGAACCAGAGGCACATAGGGGAAGCGGCTGTGGCAAAGCTAGGATAAAGCTTTGCTCATTTTGGCAGGCTGCCTGTGTTCAGAAAGCAAGCAAGCATCATCCACAGAGACAAGACCAAACAAATCAGTATTTACATTCAGGAAGGAAAATACAGGTTTATTTTAGGAGAGGTAAGGATGCATAGTCCTGTTCATACCTGCCGAATGGTTCAGTCAGTGAAGAGTACCAGCCGCTGCTGGTGGTTTCAAGCTTGATTGTAACCTAATAAGAGGATTTTTTTTTCTTGCCTTTTCCATTTGACACTAGGTCTATGTCACTATCTGTATGACTCAGCATTTGCTAGGGGCAACCAGGATAAGGATCTGAGTTCTGCTGAGGCTGAAGTTGCTGGAGGAAACCTAACAATTCTTATTTACAAAATTGACAAAATGCTATCATTGCAATTAAGGGGATATGTAATTAACTGTGTCTTAATTACAGCAGCTGCCACTTCATCTGAATGCAGTAATTTGCAGAGAAAATGGGGGAGATACTTTAAATTAATGTGTGTAAACAGTGAAGCTCACAAATACAGCATAAAGTAAATGACTCCTGGTGGACAGAAAGATACCTCCTTTACATGCACTGTAAAACAATTTTGGGGGCCGGGAGAACAGGATGCTTTGTCTTATAGTTAAGAGAGGAGTCTGGTGGTCAAGGAGGACTCTGCTCCACTCCAAACTTACTGCAAGTCCCTTAGAAATGACACCCATGGGAGTCAGGAGCCTAATTGGATTTTCAAAATCATCTACGTATCTCTCTCTTGAGATCATTAAATCCCCTTTAAAATTTAGCCTGTAACCTCCATGCCTCTGTTTCCTCCACATAGAGTGCGTCTACACATGCCACTATAGTGCTACCGTAACTTTTGGAAGTACTAAAAGATGTTGCAGTAACAGCTGGTACTGCACTGTGCGCGCCATGCATGGTTATTTTTGGGCACTATGTTGCCGTAGTGACATGCTTTAACAGGGGAGAGCATCACTACAGCAATGTAGCTGCGGCATCCCAGGTTTTGCCTACGGATGCTATGTCGCTGTAGCATCACGTGTAGATGTGCCTACAGAGTGGCTTCTTGCCAACATTAGCCTTACAATTATTTAGTCTTGTATCGGACTTCTGATATTCATGAATGTAAGCAAATAAGAACATGTTAAGTTCATCACGTTGTTTGTAATAAAATGTATTGAATTAGGTCAGTTTTATTTCTCACTGTGCCCTTTTATAGCTTGCCATTCCTCTTCACTGCTAGGCTCATACCCTGATTTTTCAGAGCAAATTTCCAGCAGATTTTTTTTTTTTAATAAATTTTTGACATTTTCAAAGAAGCAAGTTCACACACTCATCATTCCAGCCTTTTTATCAGCTTTACCCCTATGGCTGGTTTGCTTTTGGAGTGAGCATGCTAATAGATCCCATTCAGGAGGCAGCTGCCTTAGTCTCTGTACTGCATTTTTAAAGTATTGCCCACAATGTCCCGTTGCAACCTCTCAGGGTGCGTCCTCACGAGCACACACATGCAGTTTGCAGTGCCTCAAAGCAGTTTGAGGCAGCACAAACCACACATGGTGCACATGCAAGTATTTACCACGCTGCTAATTTGCAGTGCAGCGGTTTTTTAAATGTCAGAATGACTTGGTGTTTTAAAAAAAAAAAAAAAAAAAAGCCCCTGAAACAAGCGGTGTGGTGCATGTGGCAGCAGCGCGTGCCACCAGAAAGGGAATCTGGCTGGTCCTGGAAGGTCCTCAGCCACCCCTCCTCCACCCTGGTCACTGTGCTGTGTGCCACAGTGCACATGCAGGGCCATGCCTGTGGACAAATAGCAGTGACACAAATATGTGCCACTGCTATTTGTCTCACAGGAAATGCGTGCCCCTGCATGTGTGTTCAGGGGTACACACCCTCCAAGTCATTTGAGTAATTTTCAGGGAGTTGGTATGGATTTTAGAAGTCAACTGTTTTTTTCTCATTGATTCGCTGAAAAGACTTGTTCTTCACAGATGCTGTCTCATAAACTTTCCCTATTGATTCACTGAAAAGATTTTACTTTTCACAGATGCTGGGTCTTAGAAAATTGCATACAGATGTACCAGCCACCCGGATTTCCTCCTCTTTCCTGTATGACTCAGTGCTTGCTCACTCTCTGCCACTGTCTGCGTTCAGGGTAAAGTGACTATGCTGTGTTACAGAAGCATTGGGATGTGATAGTATTTCAGTCCCTTCATATGAAGAAAAATTATTACATTGCTATTTCTTTTTGAAAAGCAGTATTCCTAATAGAGTGCAAAAATGGGAGGTAGGACTACTGAGGTGTATCCCAGCTCTGTCAGTGCTTTGAGGCGTGGTCTGACAAGTCACTAAACTGCTGGGTCTCAGTTTATCTATGTGTAAGTGGACTGATAGTAAAGATAGCATGAGGCTGAATTTGTTAACAGCAGTTAAAAAATCAGGCATCCTTTTCCCTCCTAAAATAACCCTGTAGGATTTTCTTTCACAACATCCATTGATGAAAGAGGCAATGTGAGGGCTAAGTATAATTTCCTAATCATTAATGGGGGAAAAAAAGAAAATGGTTATTTATTAAACTGAATAGAAGGTGTAGAAATAAAAAAAAAATCTGAGCAAGAGGATATATAATAGAAAGAATGAGTTTCATAACACAGCTATTGCCTTCGGAAATGACGGTTAAAGTTAATAGAAGATGTTCTGTGACAAGGGGGCTCTGTAAATTGGCTGCATAAATGCATCCTACAAGTTTGACATACTAGACACATCTACCGTAGATTAAAGCATTTAAGGAATGGTGTACTCTTCTACATAGACGAGACTTATCTGAGTTACTTGTGAAACCCAAGCCCATTTTATGGGGTTTTTGGTACGTGGAGAGGACTGTTGAGAAGTATGCTGTCGTAGTACAGATAGCAAGAGCATGCATTTGCAGAGTGAAATGTTAGTCCCATTGTGATGAATGAAATATCTCCCACTGACCTTGGCGGAATACAGATTTTACCTCCGTAGCTCTGCAGAAGGAAACGCATGGATTCTTTCATATCAAACCACTGGGACCCAATTTACAGTGGGTGACACTATGCAAAAGTACCATCAAAGCTTCTCCTCGTGAATAGCCCAAATCATACCTATTCCTAGTAGGTTTACATGCTGGATAATACCTCATGGAAATCTTTAAGAACAATTATGTTACTGCCATCTTTTTGCCGGAGCTGGAGCACTTCACACCTCTTCTTTTTTATTGCTAGTGATATTTGCATGGACACATGTTCTTTGTTTCATTTATCATCTGCTTTTGCCACTTATTCTGCTTTGGAAATGATGATTTCCATGGCAACCATGATTGTGAGTTTAGGTGTGGAATCAGCAGCAAAAGTTATGTTTACTATTAAACAGCAGAGGCCTTTTTTTTTTTTTCCCTAGCCCTGGGTAACTAATGTTAAATACCTATCTAGAAATGCCCTATTATTTTGGCAGCACTGAGCACCTGCAGGGCCCACTAATACCATTTATGGCCTTAAATATGGGATTAGATACCCTAGCTTCAGGCAAACAGATTTGAAAATAGCAGTCAAAGAGTTTATTACCATGAAAATCTAGTTATCAATACAGAGGATATGATAACTCAAGAATAAAGTTTGGCTTCAAGTTTTCCATCAGAGAGCTGCATCTGATTAGAATACTGCATTCACAGACTGCACAGTGTGCTGTGTGTAAACCAATATAGTGGAATCATCTACCAACCTAATCAGTAACGTGCCCTCCCTGCTGTAGAAGAACGAATTCCAGCTCTAAAACTGCTTCAAGCCATTCCGCAGAGAGGCAAATCTGTGATTGGTTACTTTGCTCTGTTAATGTTCCAAACAGCTGTTCAGCAATTCTAAGTTTCTTTTGCCATCAAAGAGTTTGACAGCAGTGAACATTTGGCATCCAAGGGCTTGTGAGCAGTTTCACTCAATGTGTGATAGCACTGTCAGTCTATAAAACTCCCCTCTTTCCATAAATGTGTTCTTTGCTATGTTGCATGAGAGTTTTGTTTTTTTTTTTTGTTTGCATGTAAATAAGGGCCTAAGATCACTGGATGAGAGGAAGGCAGGCGCTCTTCCAGGTTTTTTCACACAGTGTTGCTAATAGACCTCAGTTCTGACCTGTAACATCCCCATTATCCCAGTCCTGGGCCTCCTCATTCCAGGCAGAGACAACCAATTGTGTCAAATTGTATGGTGTGAACAAAGGACCATTAGGAACTAGAGTGAGATCACCAAACTAATTTGACCTATTCAGGATTTGAGCCCAGGTCTTCTGGGGTGAAAGGAAAATCACTAACCCTTTGTGGTGCCTAATTCAGTAATGAAGGGCATCTTTAAAATGGTGTTAGCAGCCATATTTTCCCCCAGTTGCCTGGGGAATACCAGTCTAGAACACACAAGTCCAACTTTTCAGCAATTATTTCCCTCTGAAACTTGGGATGGGAAGGGATGTTTTTCTCATCTGTCTTAGGAGTTAGGGATGTATATTGTACCCATCACTGTGGCAGTTGTTGGTGAATGGAGACACTCTGCTAATCTTATTATTTTGTTCTCCAGCTGGAAGAAAAGGAAATGTATTTTCCCTGGAAGATAAAGTAATCAGCTTAAGTGAACAGCAGTACTGACCATGTGGCTTATCTTGTTCCACAAAGTGCTGGTCACCATCACCCTGGCAGGATGCTTTTTCAGTCGCATCAGTTCTAAAAAAGCTGGGCTGTGACA